GCCAGGCAGCTAAATGCACAGAAGGGAGGCTGGACTGGGCTGGGATTTCCACCACCAAAGGGAAATCCTGACTCTCTGCTACAGATTTAAAACATAATCAGCAGCAGCACTTCCGAGAACATAAATAGTACTTTGAAATAATGAAGAGGAGGATGACAGTCTGACCTGGGGCCACCAAGCACTCTAGAAACACCTAACCCCCAGCTGCCTCCAAACCCAAGCAAGACCCACTCTCCTCACCTACATTCCAATCCACATAGGTGGTCTCCATGACAAGCAAACCCATATTTTGTGTTTTCCTTTCCTTAACTAGAGAAAGGAAACCTGTCCCTAAGCCCACTCACATTCTGTATGCTAATGGTCAGCTGTGTCTTGAAGTCTCCAAAATCTTTGGCCAGCTCATAACCATGGTGATAGAAAGTGAAAAGTCCTTGCAGGAAGGCCAGGAGCTGTAATGAAAGAAAAAAGGCAGAGGTCACATAAGTAGGTTAAAAAGAGGTATTGTATAGCTGTATCCCAGTTCCCGATGCTGGTTCGAAAGTCTAGAATAAAGTAATAATAATGGCTAACGCCTGTCGAGTACCACTTGCGTGCCAGGAACCATGCCCTTCCTTGCCCTGTCTCACTGAATACTCACAACAACCTATGACCTAAGTACTCCCATTATCCCTATTTTAACGAGGAAGCAGATTCAGAGAGGTTAAGGAACTTGTCCCAAAACACACAGTAAGTGGCAGCCAGGACTTGAAACCACGTCTCCTTGGCACCAACACCCATCCATGCTTTTACCCTGTGATCCTCACCACCTCCTAAGAACATTTCTTCAGAAACTAAAAACCAGGGCTCCAACTCAGTTTCCTTATGGCACATGTGTAATATCAGGTTATTTTGCAGAAGAGGAAGGGGGGAAAGGAAGCTAGTGTGTCCTGAGTCTGCAGTCTAACAGGCAAAATCAAGTTAAAGAAAATCATCCAGATTAGACTTCAGCTGAAGTGTGTTTCTGTGCTTTTCCTAAACTATCCAAAAGTAAACACCATGAATTCCTTTATTAAAATATTCCCATGTTGGCCGGCCCAGTGGCACACTGGATAGTGCGCCGCTTGGGAAGCGCGGCGGCGCTCCCGCCC